ATAAGAATCAGAGGACAAGGCCATAGTAGCAATGTGCACATGATGAGGAAGAGCCTTTTTCCTGTCAAAAAGAAAATCATTTCTAGCCTTCCAAAGACACCATAAAAAATTAAGAATGTTAGAGATAGAACCATTAGGATGTCTCATTTGAAGCAAGGCAATAAGGATAGAATGCATGATATATAGTTTAGGGCTCCCGGGAAGCTCGGCTTCCTTTCTTTCTTGTTCCTCCGAGTCAAATAAAGATCGCTTTGGCGAGAGAACGTGATCTGTGCCTGATCTGCTCTCACCCTTGTACTACTATCTGTTGGTTACCATGCCACTAATGCTTAATCTAGCTAGCCCACTCAGCCCGCAATAATACTCCTCAACAGAAAATAGCTAGCCACTAGGAGAAGAAGCAGATAGATAGAGACACACCAACAAATATGATGTAAACATGGAAAATAAATGGGAGAAATCATAAAGTAACCACTGCTTCACCCTTTTTTTTTATTCTCTTTTCAAAAAGAGATCTCTTTCAAAAAAACTATCAACATTTCATTAGCATCGACAAAAAAACTGTTTATTAGTGGGCTGCCACTTCCTAAACACGGGACGACTTGTATCAGCGACTCCTGCCTAGTAGGCAAGAGGTGGCCGCCAACTCATTCTGGCGTGCCAGTGCCTAGCCAGTTGCCCCCACACATCACCAAGCGCGTAGCACGTTGCCTTTAAGTATACACGTCACAGTTCTAGATTTTACAACTCGTTTCCCTCCTCCCCTCCCCAGACTTTAGACTTGTTCCTTCAGCTCATCACCTCCAACCCCAAGACCAGGAGGACTTTGTTCGTTCTCCTCCAGTTCTACTTCCCCAAATCAAATCAAATTCCAACACACGAGAGCTCCTTCTAGAAGCATAGTACGTATCTTTGCTGCAAGACAAAGAAGCGGCACATGCGACAAGATTAAGGTACCTCTTATTTCTCTCCCAATTTTCAGCTCCTCGGTGTGTCTTCAGAAAACCCTTCCATTGCTTCGAGACGAAACTAGCGGGGCACAAACATCAAGTGGCCAGCTCCGTGCACCATGAGACCTAGCACTGCTTTTCGAGCAGCAGTACGAGTACTAGGCACATGCCACTTACTAATTTCCAGCTCAGCTAGCTAACCCCAACTTGACACCATTCCCGTCATGTCATATGCTTTGTCTCTCTTTCCCACAAAGGAACTGCCAACTCCCCTCCTTCCATTCGCTCAAGTTGCACCCTCCTTTCTGATTCAGATTATTAGTGCAGGAACAAGCGAGGCTAATTTTAAAGGTGCACGTTCCGGTTCAGATTATCAGTGGGGTCGCTGAGCGAAGCCCAAAAGGCTCACCGTAAAGCAAGGAGCAAAGGTGAGGATCTTTCCGTCGCTTTTGCACTTCTTGTGCTACTATCAATCAGGGTGCGTGTTTCCCTTCGATCTCCATGCTTGCTTCCTTGCCACTTCGTCTCCTGGTCGTCGGTGTCTTACAACAGTTGGTTGATTGCTGAGCTTTGGTTTCACTCCACAGGTTCCTTGGGATAAACTTATTTCCTTGTTCTTCAGTCTTCACAACCAGCTGACCGCTCTCCGACAAATTCGTTCGTGCAGATAGGGTAGCGTACATGGGTTGTGGGGCGTCGAAATGGAGGGGTCCCGGTGTTGTGCGCCGGGGGAGGCCAAGAAGTGTCGGGGAGGTGGTCGTCTTCCTCCCGGGGCTCCGGGTACCTAGGACCGTAGACTTCTCGCAGTCTCTCGGTGATCACCTCGACAAGAGCACGGTGGAGAGGCTGTCTTCTCTAAGAGCAACGGTCATGACAATGGCAATGCAGGAATCGGCCATGGCCCTGAAGCCGAGGCGAAGGGCGACGCGGCACGGTGTGTTGACGGGATCCTGCTTGGCTGCTAGCCTGCTACATATGTGAGATATATATATGAGGGGTTTTGTTTTGATTTAGTAGCCTTTGTTTGGCTTTCAGGAGGGTCTGGCACTGCTAATCTTCTCCAGGCTTTGGAAGACTACCTGCCAGTTCTGCTAGGACTGGTGAAAGAAAGTGAGTGTATCCTATCATACAGTATTTTTACTTTGTTTTTATGATGGTGTTTTCTGACTGATTCATCATGAGTTATGTTGCAGGCAGAACTGGCAGTTTGTTTGAGAAACAAAGTGCAGTTTGTTTGGGCTAACCAAGAGGACGATGCTGAGGTAAGGATGGGGTCCATCCATGTTCAGAGATGATCCCTTGGTAAAAAACGCTCAAAGTTACCTCATGGTTTGGTTGCAGGAGACATCCATGGCTGATGCTTGGTATGAGGTGCTGTCTGTGCTGCACCTCATGGCCATGGTGTGCTTCCTGCAGGCCAACTCCCTGCTTCTGCCGAGGTCATACGGCGACGGCCATGGGCCAAGGGTCTCTGAAGGTTGGTCATTCGGTACTTACATCTTGGATTCTTCTTGGATTAAGAACATTGTTAGTTTTCATGATTTAGTACACTGCTAAGTGCTAACAACACGAAAAAAACACGTGTCCGGCAGAGAGCAGGCGAGCCACTGTTGATGTTTTCTTGAAAGCCGGTGGGTACTTGGATTGTGCAATTAATCAAGTACTTCCGCAGATACCGCCTGAAAAAAGGTTTAACTCTTGGTTATATCAGTTTATGAAGCTCAAAGAGCCCAAGTTTAGGATGACGTCTACTGAATTCTTTGGTCTTAATTTCAGAAGGGCACTCCCGGTAGATCTAGTTGAGGGAAATCTAAAAGCTCTTAGCTTGCAAGGACTTGGCCAGGTACTCTTCAATAATTTGATGATTTTCTGTTTTGCAAAGTATAAGGACAAATCTAAATGTAAATAATTCTTAACCTCATCCAAAACTGAGCTACTTCAACTCTGTCACATTGGTTGCAAGTAAATCTGATATATAGGGGTTTATTATTGTACTCTTGTTCTTGGGATGTTTGAGTGACTTATCATCTTCAAATGCTACAGGGAGTTGATATGCAACATGGATTGGCAATTGATAATCCAAAGGCCACTTTAGCAGTCAAACGGCGTTTAGCTTGCGAGATGGTCAAATATTGGCAGCAGGTGTTTCTTCTTTCTCTCAGATCTATTTTCAAGGGCTTACGAAGTCATGAGCATATGGGTCTGTTCTTTCGCATCATACTTCATCATTCTATTTTTGCATTCAACAGCTATTGCGAATTTTTTTGTACTTTAATCTATGAATTATTGTTCTACAGATTAAGGATAGCATACCAGAGCTTCCTTTGTCGGATGGATGGGCGAAAAAGCACACACTATTTGTTAAGTGGAAGTATGCTGAAGCAAAGGTGTGCATACCAGCTTACCACTATTTTATCATAATTCCAAAATATGTTAATTATTTTGATTTCCAAATTGCAAATGTGTTCCATGTCTTGAACTGAAAAAAAAAAATATTGCTTGCGACCAATGGTGGAGGTGGAGCTACGTGAGGGCAAAACTCGGCCGTGTACCGCCCAGCTCATGAGCAGAACTAGGGCGTGAGGGAAAAAATTTGTGCTCACCTTAGCCTGGCCACCCAGCTATTTCTTTGTGCCTCTGCCACTAGATGCAACCTTACATATCCCATTTAAACTGAAGTCTTCACCAGATCACACACAGACTCTTCGACATGGCGAAGATATATAATATGTAGATCTCTTTACCTTGCTAACTAGAGACATTTAAATCGGTACTGTTGCTCTTTATATTTTTGTCAGGCTGCTGCATACTACTTCCATGGGTTGATTCTTGATGAGGGAAACACCGAGAAATCACAGGAGATGGCAACATCATCCCTACAAGCGTCAGAGGAGTTTCTGAAAGAGAGCAAAAGAGCCTCTGAGGTCTTCCATTCGACTCCTCCGACATCAAGGTCAGTTGACAATTTTTAGTCTTCTTTAGGATTTGATTTACCTGTCCCAAATCTACTACTGTGCCATTTGGCGATTTCTAGGCCTAGTATGAACAAGTTGGCGCAAGGAGGAAATAATTCTGAGGAGCCTGCTATTTGAAAGCTATTGTTGCATAGTATCTTGCCCAGCAAGGTCCAAGGATCTGAAGAGCATTGTACAGACGGATCTTTTCTTGTGAATTACACAAATGCTTTTGTTGACAGATTTCTAGCCACCAACTTTGCTAGAAAAGTATAAAGTAAGCATTCAGTATATCCTCTCATCCGGTGCTGCTCATTAAAATCACAGGATGGATTTCAGTCCATTCTGTGAACTTTTGTGATCCTTTTTTTTGTGCCAAAAAGTACCAAAAGGGGACCCACAACTTGTTTAACTTCAAGAGATTTTTTTTTTGCGGAGAACCTCAAGAGAAATTATATGTAGTACATAATGTACATATTACATGATGCATAGTTGGATAAAAACAACATTATCGCAGTACATATTTTGAAACATGGTGCTTCCACAATTGAACTTTAACAGATACCAAGAGTGGTTACTAGCCGAGGATACCCCTTGAAGTGCACGCAAATAACACGTTTCGTTATTTTCAAAATAGAATTCTTCACGAAGGACCATAATATGGGTCGTCAATCTAAATAATGTATAACCCATCCATTAAGAAGAAATAATTTTATTTACATTTTAGAACATTCAGTTTTACATAATTCATCCCAATCAAGAAGCTCAATATTAGAACAATATTGCACAATGCACCGAACATGCATACAACATTATAATCACTAACAGATCAATTTTTAACAAGTTAGATTACACGAATAATTCTAGAGGTCGGACATATGAGGAATTCCAAGGGAATATCAGTATGATTTGTAATCTCCTCAACAACTACATCACCATAACTCCAAGGTGAGACACCAATAGAGAATGACACTAGAGCTTCAATATGTTGATGTCATGAAAACTCGAGCCAGGAGCAGATCAAGTGAAAAATTACTGATGAGAAAACCACCAAAATTGTATAGATATGATGGCACTGATGTATAAATCAATCCTGTCACTTTGGCATGTGAATCACGCATCGCAAACACCTGTTTTGTAGCATCAGTTCAAGCGCTTTGTTGATGTCACTGAATGGCATATCATGTGTGACAAGGCCATCAACTTGGATTTCCTGGGAAGTTACATGACAGAATGGTCAATGCATATTTGAGGTCTACGCGTTCCAAATAAATTGTCTCGGCTGAAAACTATATTACACATGCCACATTTATTGAATCTATTCTTGTGTGGCAATCGTTGATTCTGCAATGTCAGGTCCATTATACTAGTGTCATTTCTACTTGCCTCCACAATCTCACACCACACTAAAGAGGGACAGACTAATTACACCAAGACGAATAATGAAGTTCAATTGCTTAATTTAGCATTGTTAACTGAAAGTTGGGAAAAGCATTACAAAACATTTGGTTCTGCAACAATTTTCCAAATTACCTTGTTTGCGTACTTCTCCACTAACAAAGGTATATCAGATTTGGGTCTCCATCCTCCAAACAAAGACCCCTTCAGTGTTCTTCCAGAGAGAAGCAATCCATAATGAGCAGAAACTTCTGGTTTTGCTTTTGGTACGCCAAGAGTTACAGTCAGGCCCCATCCCTGACAAGACCAAACATGAGAGGAGAAAATGCATCTGAACACAATAGTAAACTTTGTGGCACACGGTTACTAGAAATGAAAAAGACTAACAGAAAATTACATCAGAACATGATTGCAATGCAGTCGAGACTACTCCGGTATCACCCACACATTCAAAAGAGTAATCAGCCCCTCCATCAGTAAGCCGTTTTACTACCTGAAAGGATGAACAAAATGTCATTCCTATCTTGTTTATCAGGTTGGGATCAATCGGTTAACACATATAAAGTGAAAACCAGTACCACATCAGTTTTTGACATCTCTCTCTTATAAATGGAGTTGTTATAAGAGCATATTGGCAAAGCGTGTAACCCAAAGCTTGCACAATCTTGTTGGACAAGTACTGCCTAGGCAAAGAACTTTTGTGTTCTTGCTTATCTTATGATTTTGTCAAAATTTAATGGTTAGTCCAGTCCTTGATTGAGCACATCAGTTTGTTTGTGTAAACAGAATGCCAATTGTACACCAAAGATGCAGTTAAGACAATCATATAAACTGTAAGTGATCAGTAGCTCAGTTTTCTCAGTCAATTTGATTTAATTTAATTTTTCCATATGCTTCCCCTAACCGAGGGAGCCCGGTTCCACTATCATCAGATCACGAAACAAGCCAAAAACTTCAGGAAAAGTACCTGCTGAACAGGTTCATGCAATTCGGCAGGATTAATAAAATCTGTAACACCAAAAGACTTCCCTGTGACACAGACACACCAAGTAAGTTTGCAGAAAAAATATTGCTATAGAAGTATACAGTTATTATTTTGTACTGCAAAAATACCCTTTTCTTGCTTATCAGGATTGGTATCTACTCCAATAATCTTGGAAGCTCCCCGTAGCTTAGCACCTTGAGCGACCTAAATAAGCAGATATGGGCCTCAGAATTGCAGCTCTTGATATGTGTTTTTCTTAATTTACAATAGCAGCTTCTGTAGATACTCACCGAAAGTCCTACAGTTCCAAGACCAAATATAACTACACTTGATCCCTTGGATACATCAGCAACATTCCAAGCCGCACCAAGGCCTAAAAAACAGATCAACAGAGCAATAAACAGTGGATGATGAGATACCATCAAAACATGCCGGCACGCAAGATGACTGAATAATTTGAACACCAAGAATTCTTTACAAGCTGAGCAGGCATATCCTGTCAAGGGTACCTGCAGAGGCGCCGCAGCTGAGCAGGCATATCCTGTCCATGGGCATGGTGGGGCTGACCTTGACCGCGCAGCCCGAGTGGACAACCGCGTACTCGCTGAAGCTCGACACGGCGCAGTAATGGTACACGGGCTTCCCGCCGATGGAGAAGCGGGTGGTCTGGTCGCTGTGCATGACGCCCTTCCTCTCCAGGCCGAGCGTCTGGCACATGTTGCTTTTGCTCGACACGCAATGCTTGCAGCTCATGCATTCCCCGATGAAGACGGTGAGCGCGTGGTCTCCGACTTGGAACTCGGTCACTCCTTCCCCGACGCTCTCGACCACCCTGCAGGCCGAAGGTGTTAGGCTGTCAGCATTGTGACGACTTGTGTGAGCAAAAGGAGAGAGACCAGGATACGGACGGACCCGGATGCTTCGTGCCCGAAAATTCTGGGGAACAGATCGGGCTGCGCCTGCGATTCGGATCAAAGTTTGAGAGTAGGCTCGGGATAAGATGCAAATGCAGGGGAATCCTGCTCGGGGGGGAGAAGCTGTTGGTGGTGCCGGTGCGTACCGTGGACTGCCACTGGGTGACGTCGCTGCGGCAGATGGAGGTGGAGACGACCTTGACGCGGATCTCTAGTGGCCCCGGCGGGGCGACCTCCACGTCCTCCATCACCAGCGCCTGCCCCGGCCCCCATGCCACCGCCGCTGCACGCCACCAAACACCGATGAGTCAGGAGAACACCAGTACACCACACACGCACGCACGCATTCACGCGACGAAACTACAAGGGCGGATTGGTCACCTCGGCAGGTGATGGCCGCTGGAGGGGAGGAGGACGATGCAGCGGCGGCCATTGCGGGAGATTGCCTGCTCGTTGCTGTCTGCGCGAATTCTGGCGGAGAGAAGTCAAACAATCATAGCTCCTTGGTTTCGCTTTAGTAGGGGAGGGTTAGGTAGGTAGGAATGCCCCTGCCGCTACCTACCACCGTTGCTCAATGCTGCTACCGCCAACACTGCAACAAGAAACTCGAACAACTTATTACTGTCAGGAAAGAGCGCGCATAAGAGCATCTCCAATACCCGCGCTTTGCATCGCGCGCAAAAAACCTGTTTGCCACGCGCGCTTCGACTGATTTAGCGCGGCCGTCAGCGCTGGCTCCAGCAGTTGTGCTATAATGCAGCGCGCAAAAATACAGCGCGCGCGACTCGTCGAGCATTTTAACATATATGGCATTTTGGACACAAAATGAGTTTGAAACATTCATCAAAATGCAATGAACATGTGAATTTTGACACAAACAAGTTGATGAATAAAAGTTCATGCCCACAAGTTCATCCAACCAAATTCAAAATGCAAACTAAAGTTCAAGACATAAATGAAAGACACATCAATCATCTTCCTTCTTCGTCCTCATCTTCTGAAGACGATTCTTCCGCCTCCGAAGATGAATCTTTCTCCCTAACCTCATCACGCACCGTATCACGTGAAGCTCCGACGGTGTTGGCAAGATCTTCAACGGCATCTTTATGGGAATGTGTGTGAGGAGGCACATCGAAAGACATTCCACCCATGGCGGCCGGAGGTGCACCCATACCTCCCATGAGAGAAGCAAAACTCATGCCTCCCATGACGGCCATAGCGTCGGAGGGTGCTCCAAAGCCACCCATGCCTCCCATACGGCCGGAGGTGCACCCATGCCTTCCATGGCTCCGAAGCCACCCATGCCTCCCATGGCGCCAAGGCCACCGCCACCCATGGCGCCGAGGCCACCGCCACCCATGCCGCCAAGGCCACCACCACTCATGCGGATCATGGCTCTTTTTTGGATCAAGACTTCTTCACGTGCAAGGTTGACGTATTCCTTTTGCGCATCATTGAACAAAGATGTGTCCAAGAAGAACAAGTGCTTCTCCCATTCCAACAACTTAGCTCGCTCCTCCATGCCCACCTTCCTCTCCTCCAATGCCACTTTCCTCTCCTCGGCGGCCACCCTCCTCTCCAAGGCCGCCAACCTCCTCTCCTCAGTCGCGGCATCTTGGTTCCTTGCCATTTTCCTCACCTCGTTGGCTTCTTTTCTTGCCTTCACAATAGCTTCCATAGCATTTTTAGCTCATCACCTCCTTTCCTCTTCTTCTTTTCGGTTTTGTCTTTCTTGCACCCATCCGGTCGTGTTGGCTTCGAGTATGAAACCGAGTTGGGGGTGGGGCTTCTCTTGCCGTCATCACTTGATGCATCATCCTCCTCATCATCATCATTCAACTCAATTGTTCGCTTGCGTTTGTTGCTCAAATGCAAATCATCCAAACCTTCACGCTTCTTTCATTTCTCATCATCCTTTAACACTTCATAGCAATGAGGCAAGGTAAAGATCCTTCCTTTCTTGATCTTCCCCTTCTTGGTTGTCCTCGTCTCTTCTTTGAACAAGTTTTGTGCAATGTTGTACTACAAGAAAAACAAAACAAGTTAGCACTTCGGACACCAAAAACAAGTATGATGAACATATATGAGATGCCACTTACTCTATCATCCTCATTTGTGCCACTTGGGTTAATCTTGTCAACTGCCTTTTGTGCGGCCGCCCACTTTTGACAATCCGAGTTGATTGTCGACCATCGGGACCGAAGTGATCTCTCGGAGCGGTCAATTCCACTCACGTTGTGAGCATCAAAGTGTTCTTTCATTCGCCCCCAATACGCATCTCTACTTTGATCACCTCCAACAGATGGATCCCTCAACACTTGCAACCAAGTATTGCATAGTAACTTGTCATCGTTGGTGATGTAATTGCTCGCTCTTCCTTTCGGCGCGTCGACAATGCCCTCACCCTCCTCGTCCACCTCAAACTCATGGTCTTCGAAATGGATGTCATTGGTTTGAGACAATGCAAATTGTTGGACCCAACACCCATAGTTGACATGTATGCATCATCATTGAGACTACAAAGTTTTTTGAACAATGCAAATAAGCTATCTATATGTGATGATGCATTGAAAAAATAACAAGAAAATAGAAGTTGGAATTTTTTTCACCTTGGGGCATTTCATCGAACACGTGGTGCGTGTCGGCGGCCGGCTCAACGAGTGAGCTCGCCGGCGCTTCGGTAGCCGCCGCGCCCGTCGAACGCCCTGCAAGCTTCTTTCCCCTCGCCTTCGAGCTGTCGGAGCCGTCCGCCGCCTTGTTCTTCTTCGCGGATGTTTTGCCCTTCTTCGGCCGCGCCGCATTGGGGAGCTTCGACGGTGCGGCGGCGGCACGGGACGGCGCCGGAGCGACGCCACCCGTCGCCGTGGTCATCCGCGGCGGCAAGAAGACACTACGCGCGAGGCCGACGCTCGGCGGAGCTCCGGCGGTGGCGACGCCAATGCTCCCGCGCTAGGGTTTCCGGCGGCGGCGGCGGGGGGAGGGGTCGCGGCTGTACAACGGGGTGAGTGGGATGCCGGTGTGCGCGTCCATGGGTGGCAGGGCGCCGGCGCCGGCGCGCGCGGGGCGTAGAAGGAGGAGAGGAGAGAGTGCGGCGCGAGCGCTCGAGTGTGCCGCGCGCGGAAGCGGCCGCCCCAAATACACCGCGCGGGATAGTGCTTCCGACCGCGCGCCCAACTCGTTATAGCGCGCACGCGGTTTTTGCGCGCCACCCGCCGCGGCGCGCGCGCTAAAACGGCCTAATTTGCGGCACGGCGCTAGTTTAGCGCGGCTGTTGGAGATGCTCTAAGCAACAGCTCGGAACTTGTCCAAACCACCTAAAGTTTGTCAATTCGAGGCCGCAAAATAACATGATCTAGGCAACCTTCATAGCTGTCAGGAACAAAAAGAGAACTCTCTCAGACAAGGAGATTTGGTGCCCGAGCCCAGCTGGTCCCGATATCCTCTCCTTCTGTTCCGCGCTAGGGATCCGAGAAAAGAGGCCTGACGCATCTGACGCTGAATTATGGAAATCAGGCGGGAGGTGAAATACGGGACGGAATAGTGTATTGTACGTGGGACTCAGACATAGCGGTGGGACGACGGAGACGCGTGAGGTAGCTAATCCGTCGACCAGAATGTTAGTGCTTTTACCGTGCCTAGGATCAGATCAGGGGAACAGGACGTCGGGGTAAAAGCTGAGCCGTCTGTCAGACACGTCTATGTGATACACATGCGCACATCGGCTGTAGGCGGCGACCCGGCCCCCATCCAAATCTCCCGGTCCATCTAGCACGTCGTTGTTCATTCTGGAACCCTGATTTGTGCTGGTGCCCAGCCCCCTACCATTTTACTTGCGGCGGCGTTGGTGGCCATTTGAATGGATGATGTTGGCATGGAGTTCCTCCTCGATGCCGTTGACATGTTAGATACTTCAGATCTGCAAAGTTTTTCAGCAATTTTCAGTGTGTTTTCACTGACGCGCCATGGCCGCCGCCGTTGCCGTTGGATTCTCATGTCCCCCTGCATGAGGAGTTCGCCGATAGTCATGAGGAGCCAGATCCGGTCCCTATGTCCTTGTTGGTAAACAGCGGACCAGGAGTTGCCCTCCCTGCTGAATCAGACGTTGGCTGTGGTTGTGGTCAGCAAATCGGCAACGAGGACAACAATAGTACACGAGCTGGAGTCCGGCGACGACCTGATTCATCGCCGACGAGGTCTATGCATCGACTGACAGAGTCAACCTGCAGGCCCGTGGGTGGACAAAAAGGTACAAAATGAAATATGTGGAGTTGTAGGATTACATCTTTTATGTCTCCTGTCCTGACTGAACATTATTTGTGCGTTGCTTATATTCAGTAAGAACTTAGCAGTTAAAAACCGGATAGTTAATCTGAACAAATTGGACCACTTCGTTACCGGACCCATATTAACCCCCTAGGAATACCCACAGGCACCATGTTGCTAGCCTTGTTTCGTACAATGAAAAAAATGTTAGGAAAGAAAAATTGAATTTTGGTTTCCATGATCGCAGATTACGTCTGGGTAGTGCGCCACCAGACAGGACACCATGCCCTTCCCGAATTATTGCTATGGAGCAGTCGATTTGCAAGTACGCGGAAGAGCCGTCGAAGAGTGTGATAACGCCCGAACTCGGGCTGAATTTTGATTTGTTAGGTGAGGCATGCAACTTCTACAATCTGTATTCGTGGGAGATAGGCTTTGCTATTAAATATGGTAAAAGCAGATTGAACACGGAGAGGACAAAGTGCATCCAACAGATTGTGTGCGGGTACTCAGTGAGTTTTCATTTCCGTAATGTATTCTATGGCGCGTAGGGAAGTGTTTGACCGATTTGTCGTGGTGAAAAACATGCAGGGCAAACCGGAAACGGAGAACAGTAGGTCCTGCAGATGTCAGTGTCCGGGCTTGATTAGGTTGTTGCGTGCAGCAGAAAACAGTTGATACATCACAGAGCACCGTGAAAAAACCACAACCACTCTATGTCGTTGATGATTGGTGAAAAAGTGCACGGGCCGTCTCACAAGCACATTGATGTGTACATTAAAGATTTGATAAAGCTGCTAAGGGAGAATAATGTGAATTTTGGAAAGGTGTACAACATCATTGGCAGTTTTTTTGAGACGATCGAGAAGGTGCCATTCACGAAGAGGACTCTAAGGAACATTTGTGGGAAGATCAGCCATGAGCAGGCAGAAGACGATGTTAGGAAGACATTGGAGGTGTTTGCAGACATTGTCAATGATGACCCTGGTTTGACATATAAAGTTTTGGCAGAGAGAACAAGTAAGGTCAAAAACCTCATGTGGACTAACGGAAGCAATCGAATGCAGTACATGTTTTTTAGTGATGTGGTTACATTCAACACAACCTACATGAAAAACCTTTGGTCTTTTTGTTGGGGTTAACAATCATTTTCAGAGCATTATACTTGTTGGTGCCTTGATGAGGGAGGAACAAGTAGAGAGCTTCAAGTGGTTTTTTT